GAAATGGGGATAGAGGAGCCAGGTGACAACATGAGAGTCCCCTCCCTAGTCCCAGTGGAGACCTCAGGGCTCAGAGGATCTAAGTGAAAACACACATCCAGGCTGTTTGGATCTTTTGGGTTACCAAATAAAAGAGATTTGCACTGAAACCCCTCCACATTATTCCCCCAAATTTCCTCCCTCTTTCCTCTCCCCTCAGGAAGAGCTCCTGAAACTTAAAAAAGAAAATTTAAAAAGCTGAGCACCAAAGACCAGTGGGTGAGCAGTTCCGGAAGGCGGGGGAGAAAGAGGGGAACAGGGATGGGGCAGGATGTGGTTTAGCTAGTCTCTCACTTAAAGTTTCTCTGAAAAATTCTGATCTATCGTGTCCCAGCTGACAGAAAGAGGGATGTAGCTGGTATATGGGAAGGTGGGGACTGTTTAGCGGGGCAGGACCTGGTCATGGGATATAAGGGTTTGCTGGGCTGTTCCAGGAGGGTGAGCAACTGCTGAAATTAGCAGGTCGTGGCTTCCATGCTGGTCCATCAGCTGGCACTCATCTGGGAACTGGGTGGATGGGGGTTCCTTTGTGCCTTAAATCAGCTACCTCAGGAGCTGGGACATCATGTCTATCTTGGTGATGAGTGAACGGAGGCCCCACATGAACCACCAGTCGAGTTCTCTGGGCAGGTGAGGCGCGGAGCTGCCTGCCTGCAGAGCTAAGGAAGCTGTATCTAAGCTGTACTCAGCGCCCCACTCAGGCCTTGCCTTCCAAGTCAGGAATGACATCTGTGGGTGACCAGTCCTTCCTGCCTAAGGCCCCAGTCTCCCCATCTAACATCAGAGAGGGTTGGACTGGAAGGTCTCTGGCTTCAGTTTCATGTCCCTTTTTCTCTGGATCTCAGAGCCTGGGTAGGGACTCAGACAGCTGGAGCTGGGATCCCAGTTCCACTGCCTACCAGGTCTGTGACTGGCAATTCATCTCACCTCTCTGGGACTCAGTTTCCTCCTCTGTGAAATGAGTGATGCTAAATGACTGCTCCCATGTCAGGGACAAATTGGGTGCAGTTGGTTGACTGAGCACCCAGCACAGGGCCTGGAACACAAAACACAGTAGGGGTGGGAAGGGAGGCTGTGATTCTGAGGGACACCCCCCCACACACACACACAAGATAACCTGACTCTTCTATTCAGCCACCAGGTCCCCAGTATAGCACCAGTGGCAGATCACACTCATGAGACCGATGCAGCCCTTTCCTCAGCATCGGGGCACAGCTGGGACATTCGGGGGCACTGGGTCAGCTAATGGGAAGGAGAACATTATGAGTCTTCTGGGATTTCCTGAAGCCCAAGAGGGAGGGGTCGACCCTGTCCCATCTCCCTAACATGTCTACCCTAGACCTATTACTACTGGGGAGAGGCAATATTTACTTGTAATATTCAAATCTAACATTTACTATTTACATTAAAACCCTATTTCTTTTACAAATTGGGAGTTGTGGAATGCTTCTTTCACTTCCAATGCCCACTGAAACGAGGTTCAGAATCTTACATTCCTCCTTGAATTAAGACATCTTGCAAGGTCATCAGCTTATTGTATAGGGGAGAAGGGACAGACCCCTCCCTGGCTCCTGAAGGATACCCAGAAGTCCCTGTTACTCAGAGGACAGGTTCATTTCAGTATCCTCAGCCTGGATAAGGAGGAGAGACAGCTCCTCAGAGCTCCTGGGATTTAGAGATTGAGGGTGCTTTCACAGGCATTGACAAACCTCCTGAAATGCAGGCGTCTTTAAAAACAACAATTGCCAAGATGACTTCCTGCCCCAGGACAGTGGCTGCCTTTTTACAGCTCTAGAAGCAGAGGGAACGTTTTCTTCTCTTGTTGAGGTTTCTTTTGACCAAATATTAGGAACTTGTGGTTTTCTAGTTCAACCTCTGGAAGTGCGTCAGCACTAAGCAGGGAAAACAATGTAAAAAAGATCAAAATGTGAATCTGGACAGGAGGAAGACAGAGGAAGACCATTTGCAAATAGTCTAAGAGCTGGCAGGACTTTCCATTCTCAAGCTCCCTCTAGGAGTTCTGTGATTATCCTTTACCTAGATTTGAATCCTTCTGGGCTCCTCATCCGACTCCCAAATTCCTTTTCCTGCTTGTTTCTTATCAGGGGAAAGCTTTGTAATACAGCTTTTAAGGCTACAGCTGGGACTTGTTCTGTAAACATTACTGTTCCCTATGACCTAGGGTTTCTTGCACTTCCTTATACAATTCTCTTGAAGGCAGAAACTCTCTAGAAGGCCCCCAGCCTGTCTGGTATGGCACTCCTCCCTGGCTGGCCCAGATAGATCATGGGTGAGCTCTGGTTTGCCAGGACGAGTCCATAATCCTGGCCAGTGAATGACCCCAAACTCTCCCTTGCTGCCCAGGGGGACTTCTGGGAGCTTGTGATTCTGAGGCCCATGGCCTTAGACAATCACCAGTTTATACACTCAGTTGTGTTGTTACCAGCGAGTCCTAAAGGGACAGATGAACCAGAGCCCATAGAGTTTGTAGCCCCTGGGATGGCTGTGTTCTTTCCCAGTCTTGTATTGTGGGTAGGTCATGGTGGTGTGGTGGGGGCGGTTTGAACTTTTCCTGTTGGGAGTTTTGAAAGATACGGGATGAGAGGGGAGGATGTACGGAGGTCCATAAGGGGAATCCCACCTAACTGATCATCTCTGAGCATGCGTGGACAGAGCCCTTACCAACTAAACTACTGAATGCTTTCGATCTGAGCAAAAAACAGACCCTACTCTGAGCTTACCCCCAGTACCCACCCCATGATCAGGAGCTAAAGGGTTCCCACCTGCATTTTGAACTTCATCCCTTGGAAATGTCCTGCAAGAGCAAGGGCCAGATGAATTTCTTGGCACTTCTGAGTTATCTACCTCCTTTCTGACAGCTGCAAATGTTACCCAGACACTCAGCAGGTGGACTCTGCCAGGGAGGCCTTTTCAGGACAGCCAGAGGCTGAGGATAAATCCTGTTTCCTGGCAGCCCAGGCCCTTCCTGATATGGCACAGCCATGCGGGAGAGTGGTCATCTAAAGTAAAGAGTGATAAGGCTATCCTTTCCCTCCAAAGAGAAAGAAAAGCGGAAGTTCCCAGGGCTGGTCCAGGGCCGGGGGGAAGGCATGGTTGTCTGATGGATTTCTCCTGCAAGACTGTGAGGCTCCTGAGAGCCAACCCTACATATAGGAATACTTACTGTCTTGTGCCTACCATATGGTATGGAGGGACAATTTATTGTATCTTTAAGCTTCCAGTGGCCAAAGATACACTGATAGTTAACAAGAAGGGACCCACATTTGCAGCAAAAGTCTATCTCAGCCGTCTTTTTACTTTGATGGAAATGTTATATACAGAGAGTGCCCCAAATATGTATAAACATGTTAAGAAAGGATAAAACTATTAAAATTGTAATACTCAATATATGCCAATAACAAAATATGAATACAAGTCATGTGTATACGTTTTTTGGCACCCCTGGTACATAGGTATATAAAATACTGCACTCAAACTTATCACAGAATAAATACTAATAACCATCAAATGTATGTTTTTTACAGTGGTTTACCTTTTTATAGCTTGTATTTACAGCTACTTTTTTCCATTTCCCATTTCATATTTCCTTCGCCCTCAGCAAGTACCTCTGCAGTCTGTGGTTGTTTGCCTGGTTGGGGGACTCTGAAGGGTCTGGGCCATTAGTCATTCTGCCTAGATTGGTTTCTTATAGTGTTCCATTGACATTAATCACAGGGCATGACGATACTAAGAAATGTGCTAAAGAACCTCTTAAATTCCACACACAGTTTTCCTAACCTCCATTGCAGAGTAGCAGAAGGAAGCATGAGTGCCTGAGTAATACCATGGCTTTATAAAGACAGTTTCTGCTTTAGATGTAAAGATGAATAAAACTCAGGGAGAAACACCAGAAGAAAAAAACAGCTCAGTCTTTTTTTCACGTTTCTTGGCACTGAATCCTACTAGACAGTTTCAGCAGAGGCTCCCCACTAAGCAGCCCAAAGCAGCCCAGGCATGAGGCAGGTGCTTTGCGTTTGCGGGAATAGATTGCATGATCTCTACACATTTTGCAGATGACTACAGCTGAAGAGACCCAAGAGCTAAGAATTAAAATTACAGTAATGCTACCCATTCAGAAATTTTTGGTGGGAGCTTCACGTTCTCAGTCTTAAGCAGTCATTCTCCAAGAATGCACTAAAGACCATACTAATGATAGCAATAGGTATCATTTTGACTACTTAATATCTGCTAAGCAACATGACTGGAAGCTCTGCATGCATTATCTCAGTTATACTCACTGTCCTTGAGGGCTTTATTCCCATTTTATAGTGACAGATAGAGAGGCTCAGGAATATTAAATAACAAGGAAGGAAAATAATTACTAAGAACCTAAATTAAATACCTAGCCAAAGTGTCTGTCAAAGAAAGAGATAAAGACATTTTTAGACATACAGACACACTTAAAGTTCACCTTCCACAGGCCTTCAATGAAAGAACCAGTAAAGAATGTACATCAGGAAGAAGAAATGTGCACCTAGAACAATGTAACAGGAATAATGAGAAAAAGAAGAAAATTAGCATATATAGATTAGTACTAGTTTTGAAATAAGACATTAAAAGACATTCTAACTAAAATTCCAGATGGTTATCACATGGGAGAATTTTTAGGCAAGTTATAAATACTATAGATACCCTATGATTGTTTAGTACATCACTCTCAGAAACTGATGTGTCAGACAAAAGTAATAATAAAGAGGATTTGATAATACAACACGATTGACCAGGCAAAAAGACAAATAAATCCTAACAAGCTGTAGCTTATTGTTAGATCAATGGTGCTGAAAATGGTCTCTCTTGATATTATGATTCCCCCAAAGGTATGCCAATCTACATGAATCAAATTTCAAACATATATAGATTTAAAAAATAAAGGAAAGTCTGGTATTTTATTATGTGCAACTCAGAATTAACATGCAACAAAGAACAGAAAAATAAAGACCTAGAAGTATATATCTTATTTGAGAATATAAATATAAAAGCTCTTTAATAAAATATTATTTTGGAATCTGCTGGAATATTACACAAAAAGAATAATCCATTCTGACTATTCAGAGTAGATTTTACTGTGTGATTGTGAGGGCAAAACAGTAAATCATCCCATGACTTTGATTACTCTCTGTTGACTTTAAAATACTAATAAATAACATACATAGTAAAGGAAAATTAGAGTACAACATGAAAAGGAAAGATCTCCTTTCTCTCCTCACCTGAAACCAAATTTGTCTCCTCAAAAAAGATTACTGTCTATATATTCCATGTCACACAAAGTGGTTTAATAAAGTATTGATATACTTTAAAGTTTCATGAGCTCAAAGCAAGAATATATTATGAACACCACAAAGAGACATTAATTAAGTGTTGTGTTCCATTTCATCTGCACCATCTTCTCTTTTTTGTCATAGTGTTTTTCAGGATGTCCTTCTTGGTCCCTCACTTTTTCTGCCTCGCTTGCGAGTCTGTCTGCAATCAATGCTATCGCCAGTCTTTCTCTTGCCTTCTTCATTTTCCTTTCCTGCTTCCTGATATCTTTCTCAGTCACCAGAAATTGTTTGCAGAGGAGCTGTGGGTTACCCAGACCAGCTCCTGGAATCATCTCGGCCATATGTGAGGTCCTGGCAGGAGTGTGCGTGGAGCTGCAGTGTGGACCACCTGCGAGGACACCCGACAGGGATTCACTTGTGCAACCAGGCACAAGCTTGGGCAAGGTTTTGGCAAGATCGAAAGGACTTAACAGTTGTCCCGTGCTGCTGCAGGCCTGGAGTCCTTGCAATCTCTTCTGCCAGTATACCTGTTGGGGCTTGTCCAAGGTTTCCTCCCATTGATGGCATCTGACCTCATTGCCAGGGTGGGATGTGATTCTAGTAACTGGACTCTTGAATATGTAACTGGACATTCTCAAAGGGATGGATATGCTTAAATCAGGCTTTAGGTTAGATTGGTTTACCCAGTCACGATGCTTCCTCTGTGAAGTCTTGACCATCATACTTCTTTTCCTTTTACTCTATAAAAATAAATCGTGAAATTGGATCCAAATAATAAATGACGCCTGCTTTCTTAGGACAATTACCTTGGCTGTCTTGTACTTCCACCCTCCCTCTGTCCCTCTGATGGATATGTCCTGCATCTGGGACATCATCAAGCCGATTTAGGTCAAGAACAGAAAGCTTAAGGTCAAAACCCAGAACCTACTCTGTCATTTCTCCTCCAACATTTTGTAAGACCCTCTCTGTTATGCGTATGATTTTATTCTCCTTTTGTCCTTGTCACTTTCAACTGCACAAGTCCCGGTACACTCTCTTGACATTCAGTCCCGAGTCTTTCTAAATCCCAAATCCTACCATTCTTCTGTGTTATATGGTTAACCCATTGACCACTTGGTTTTTATAGCTTCTTTAGAGCTTAAGTCAAAAGCGACATTACCAACCAACCCATTCTTAGTAACTCACCCCCATTTCCCAGAAGTGGTTTACATCAACCCAAATAGTTGTATTCAAAATAAATAATTAAGAAAACCTATTCACCCACTACAAATTTCTGATTTCCAATATTTTTTTCAAACACTCATATAATAGATACCCTATGCCAGATCACCATATTCTTATCTTAATTTCTCCCCTCGTAGTCCTATCAGTGAGAAGGCAGGGTTCTTTGGAAAAGGCAATAATGCTGGGAAAAATAGAAGGCAGCAAGAAAAGAGGAAGACCAACTATGAGATGGATTGACTCCATAAAAGGAGCCAAAGGCATAAGTCTCCAGGAGCTGAGCATGGCTGTTGAGGACAGGATATTGTGGATGTTACTCATTCATAGGGTTGCCAGGAGCCGACTCAATGACACATAACACATTTGTATAAATCTTGGATTCCATGGACTATGATCTCAACAATTCCTTGGAATCATCCAAAATTCCTTCCCACTTATCATATCTGCTTTGTAAAACTTCAAACCCAAAGATCCTGATTATCTGCCATGCCCTAGCTACTGCTGGTCTTATCATAAGTGCATGATATTTTGGTGCCCCTGTAAATACGAAATAATCTGCACCCACTGGGAAGCATCCGTAATGCCTGGAGATTGTCCTTTCTTTTTATGTGTTGGCATATTTGCTCCTTGATTTTTCCCAAAGCCTGTGTCGTTTTTTTCACTTTTCCTTTTTCTTTCATATATATTCAATATCCTTTAATTTGTCTGATATTTGACAGAGAAATTGTAAAATACTTCGAGGTTGAAATTTTACTGCTATAGTTGCCAAATCTGCAAATACTTGTGATAAACTCTCACTGTTTTGCAACTTTTTCTAATCATATTTAAAGAAATTTCTTTTATCCTCCAATGGTGATCTGGACCTCATTCCTTCTTCCTTCTTATTAAGTTCACCCCCCCCCTGAATATTCCCATATCACCCCTATACTTCCAATCTCTATGTGAACTGAATCCTTCCTTCAGCATTTACATATCTACAAGTCTTTCCTAACCACACAGAAATCTCTCACCTGATCTTCCTGGACCCTTCCTCAACTACTGCTCTTTCTACTCCCTCCCCTTAGTGGTGAACCATTGAGAAAGGTCATCTATATCATGTGTCTCTGTGGCCTCACCTCCAACCTCCTCCTCAGACCATTCCACACTGCCATCTGCCTTCACCATTCTAGGGTAAGGTCACAATGACTCCTTTATTACTAGACCCAGCAGGAACTTTCCATTCTTCATCTGACAAGATCTTTAAGAGGAAAACTTAAATATATTTGGACAACTTATTTATGTAAATACTATTTTACAGCTGTGAATATTATAGAGTCTAAATACAGAGCAGGTATATCTGATAAAATTCAACTTACAAAGTGAGAGTGACCTTAAGTGGAAAGTACAAACTGGATTTCTGGAACTCAGCACACAAAAAAAAGAATGTAAAATAACTCATTAATTTTTACATTGAGTGTATTCAGAAATAAGATCTTGGCTCTAATGGGTTATAACATACAATTAAAATTGCTTTCATCCCCTTTACTTAATGTGGCTACTAAAAAAATTAAATTTCATAATATAGAGTGCTTAATGCTTCTATTGGACAGTGCTGGTCAAGCCATGAGTGAAAATAAAGCCCACAGAAACTGGTCAGGGAGAATTTTTCCCAGGAAAGGAGTCTACCTTGACACCTGCCACTAGATGCAGCAAACACACACACTCTCTCTCTCTCTCTCTCTCTCTCTCTCTCTCTCTCTCTCTCTCTCTCCTCTCTCTCTCCTCTCTCTCAACAAAACCAACCTAAAAGTATCCCAGAGTCCCACTACTACTTCTCAAATGCCATGAGGCTGCACTCCTACATAGTCCTAACTAGACTGATTTCAAGAGAGAAGTCAGAAGTCAACATAATTTACCAATTAGAAAGAACCAAAACCGGAGACTAAGGGTCAAGATTTTTTGTGAAATCCCCTCTCTTTAGTTTCTGTTAAACATTCAGCACATTTGGAAAACTTTCTCAGGGAGGATTGATTTTTAAAATCACTTTATCTTTACTATGTAAAAATATACAAGATATGTAAGGAACTATCACTTTAGCCAATACATGAAAAGGAGATGATAGAACACAAATATCATTATGTCTAAATCACTACTAGATTAGTGAATCAGTCAGGGGGCAGAAGATATTGGATTAATTTGGACCTTATTAGGCTGATCCTGATTAGAGTACCATCATATTGATTGTTTTATGCTAGGACCTCTGAAACATGCCAGCCCCTCCTACTGTTGAACCACCAAGGCCCAGCAACCAGACCAGTCATTTCTGGCAAATCCCCTGGCTCCACCCCTTCTGACGACACCTGGAGGATCTTCCCAAATCCCACTTGTCATGGCACTCTTCTACCTGCCACACCCAGGGAAACATTTTCTCCAAGGCTCATGCTGTGTGTGTGACACTTCTCCTTGGGTGAAGGGAAGGTCAGGGTGCAGACCCTGTGAGCTGCAGGAATTAGCACAGGACGGTGGTTTACTGACAGAGAACCTTTAGTGCGCACAGGTGCTAGGGTCCATGAAGCCCCAGTGATTCCTGGATAGCATCAAAGAAGAGGATGCAGGAGAGCGCAGGTATGTTTGCGTGTGTGAGTGTGCTTGGGGATGCCTGTAGCATGACATACGTGACACTGGTAATGCATTCAACAATGTCGTTCCTTGATTTAGACACTCTATGTTAGGGAGTGTTTCCTACATACATTTAGGGGCTAAGTACCCATACTTTGGAGCTTATTGTGTCAGAAGACTATTAAAAACTTTATTTGTAATATATAGATACAGCATCTGTGATATGCCAGGTGTTCCAAGAATTTTTCTAACATTAGCTTCTTTAATACTCTCCATAGCCTTATAAAGTAGGTACGCTTATTATTATTGCCAACTGACAGATAGAGAAATTGAGACACCATCAAGAGAAATAACTGGCCCAAGGTTATTTCTGGTAACCAAGGTTATACCTAGTAAGTGGTTGAGATGGAATTTGAACATCAGCTGTAAGCTCCATATTGTATGCTCTTAACCATGATATTTGCTCTCTAAAGACTTCACTTCAGTTTGGACTGAGAGTGTGAGTTCCTTTCTGTAGGTTGGCTGGGCACTCCCTTCTCCATTGCTCTCTTATGGGGCCTCTACATAGGGCAGCTCAAAACATCAGCATCTACTTGCCCAGTTCCAGCACAATGAGAGAGAGGGGAGGGAGAGAAAACAGATGGAGAGTAAGAGAAAGAACACAAGAAGCAAGTAAGATAAAAGTGACAGGCTTTTGTTAATTAAAACTTGGATGTGACATCCCATCACTTGGCTGTATTCTGTTGTTCAGAAGCCAGTTACTAACCACTGAGTGGTTACACAAGATGTGTTCACCAGGAGGCTGGGAGCCACTGTGAAGGCTACTCACCCCAGAGGCCGACAAGAAGCACTTGGGTCTGACTCTAAGTTTAACAGGAGACCACTGGAAGGTTTTATGCCAGTGGATAAAATAGCTGAATTTCCTTTCATTTCAACCCCTTAAAGGTGAAGACCTGAAAATGAGGCCAAGAGGGGCAGTGACTTTCCCAAGATCCTGCTGGAACCCAGGCCTGGTTTGAGTGGTATTCGATGCTACACCCCACCAACCCCTTCATGCAGTTCATCCATCTTAGTTTGTGCATTAGACGGGTGACACCAGCCCACAGGTGCTGTATTATCTCACATACAGTAGTTCCCTCTTTATCCACAGTTTCACTTTCCACTGATTAAGTTACCCATGGTCAATCATGATATTAAAATATTAAATAGAAAGTTTCAGAAATAAACAATTCATAACTTTTCAACTTTGTGCCATTCTAAAGCATGTGATGGAATCTCCTGTCACTGTCCCTCCCAGGATGTGAATCATCCCTTAGTCCAGTATATCCATGCTGCACACACTCCCTGCCTGTTAGTCACTTGGTAGCTGTCTTGGGTCTCAGGCCCGCTGTCATGATATCCCAGTGCTTGTGTTCAAGTAACCCTTAGTTTCATAATAATGGCCCCGAAGTGCAAGAGTAATAATGTTGGCAATTTGAATATGCCGAAGAGAAGCTGTAAAGTGCTTCCTTTAAGTGAAAAGGTATGTATGTATAGGAAAAAGCATAGTATATACAGGATTCAGTACTATCTGTGGTTTTAGGTATCCACTAGGGGTCTTGGAACGTAATCCCTGCAGATAAGGGGGGACAACTGTACTGCCACATTGTCCCCAGAATGGCTGTATAAATTTGGAATTTCACCAATAACCTTTAAGAGTTGCCCTTTTTCCATACATTCACTATCACTAAAAATGATCAAACTTGAAAATACTTGCTAATAAGATAGGTGAAAAACAGTATTTCATGATTGTTTTGATATTTTTAAATGAAAATGGTATATATTTTTTCATATATTTATTGGCCATTTCCATTTCTTTCTCAGTGAAATACATATTCAAACCTTTTGCCAAGTTTTAAAGAAAGCAATTGTATATTTTTTCATGAAGTAATAGTAGCTGTTGGGTTAATAAGTCATGTTGGTACAGTGGGCTATCTATCTGG